AAAAATGGTAAGAGAGTGGATGTTTAGTGTTCTTATAACAAAAATGACAATCACAGGGGCTCACAGGGGCTGGCAGTGTAACTAAGTGGTAGAATGTTTGCCTGGCATGCACAAAGCCCTGGGTTCAATTCCCAGCACTGCAAAATAAGTAGATAAACAAATATTTTTAAAAAATATTTTAAGTTATGCATATTATAATTAGCTAGATTTACTCACTTTGTAAGTAACGAAATCATGTTATACATGATAAACCCATGTAATTTTATCTGTCAATTTAAATACACACATACACGCACTCTCCAATTCCAAAATTTCTATTGCAATAGTAAGAATTCAACAAATGTAAGATTAAAGAAAAATGGGAAGAAAAAAGAGGGAAGGAGGGAGGGGAAAGAGCATGGAAGGAAAGGGAAGTTGGTAAAAAAAGAAAAAAAAATGAAGACAGAGAACAGGAATAATTGATCAGTTGCTATCAACACTCAGGAAGGGAAAGAGTTTTTACATAGTATATATTCTCTCTATTTATTAGGGATGTTGAATTTTACTATTATAAAGCGCTTGACATTTCTCACCAGTTGCTGTTAGTTTTCAGGATCTTCTCTAAATGTCTCACCTCCATGACTCCATTAAGATATAAGTATGCATTATTTTTAAACTTCATGATACTTTTCTATACTCCATTATATCACTCTTCGTACACCATGTGCAATTACTTGCCTACTTGTCTTTCTCCTCTACAGAATTTTGAGGAAGAGAGAGAGAGAGAGAGAGAGAGAGAGAGAGAGAGAGAGAGAGAATATCCTTCTATTCTCTGCATTTTGGGCACTTGGCATAGAATCTGGCACAGAAAAAGTACTAACTTAAGAGTTGGATAAACAAATGGATGAATCAACACATAGCTGGACAAATGGATGGGATGAGGAGGGGAATGAGCAAGCCATGGATTTGCTAAGGCATACTTGACTACACAATATAGTTTGGCCCTTGAACAGAAGGAATTGACTTAAAATTTCACACGTGATTAAAGTCTTCCTTATAGACTAGAACAGAATCAAATTATCCATTGTAATATTCATACAGGCATGAAAAATAAATGTTTGAGTTTACATAGGAGATATATACACAGATATTTCTAGGTGATCTCCTAAAAATACATACCTGGCAAAACACAGGCTTATGGATACTGGAAAAAAATTGCAATAGCTCTTCTGAATCCCTGTAGTCACTAGGGAGTTTATCTATACAAAGGCACTTAGAATGAATGAGCTCTGAGGCCAATAGATTAACATCCATCCATTGTGCAAAGAGTGCTGATGCTCCCAACTGTTTACCCAGTAGTTCCAATCTAGCCTTTGCAGCAAAGTCCTTTTTCATGTATTCCACAAATCCATAGCCTTTGGAATGGCCAGTAACTTCACTGTAGACCAGAAAACATCTCTCAATATTTCCATAAGTACGAACAAGTTCTTCAAACTCTTCTAATGTGAAAGAAATGGGCAGGTTGGTAATACACAGCAAAGCATCTGTGGGCTGGAGTTGAACTATCAAGTCTTTGCCTCGAAAAGAATATTGATGAAACATCTGAATTGCACTCTGGGCTTGTTCTCCATTCAATAAGGTAACAAAAGCTGGAAGATAATAATAAAGTGAATTAAAGAGTTTTCAAGGCCAGTGTTTTCCATTTTTTTTTTTACTGTGACCCACAGTAAGAAATCCATTTTATGTTCACACACAATTTTTCTGAAACATAATTATCATGAAATTATACCCCTGTTATATGAAAAGCACAAAGTACTAATTTTTTAAAGTTCTATTTCACACTTTTCTTAATGCTGACATCTCACTAAACTACTTCCATGGTCAGTTGTTCAAATAGAAAGTATGGAAATTATATTAGGAGTTCCATTGTAAAGTCCTACCATATTCTAAGAGGTTTTTTTTTTTTTTTTTAGTAATCTCCTCCAAAATATAGAGAGATAATTTTTCCCTAACAACTTGTGATACAAAAATCTTATGAAGCCTTCATAAAAAACAAAAACAAAAAACCACAAAGGTATAGCAAAAAAACCAACTGCCCAGAGGAGGAGAGCCAGTTCTCACCAACTCATGTATGTATTTTCTTAAAATAAGATTACTTAGGTTGAAACAACCCACAAATATATATAATTTGGTATACTTTTATGAATAATATCTAATGAAAAGATCACATGATTTTGATCTTAGACAAATAGCCTAGTTTTAAATTTGATAAAACAATAAAAAAAAACTGTCCTCTCTACCTAATGAAATCATTCCAGCATCAAACAACAAATTGATATGATAATTTATACAACATAGCTAGGTACGGTAGAGATCCCATCTACTAAGGAGGCTGAGGCAGGAGGATCACAATTTGAGGCCAGTCTCAACAACTTAGTAAAAATCTTGTTTTAAAATAAAAATTCAGAAAGGGCTGGGGTGTAGCTTAATGGTAGAGCACCACTAGGTTCAAATCCTTGTACCATCCCCCCAAAGTAATTTAAACACAAGGTTCTAAATCAATGAAAAAAAATCATATAATGTGTATCTATTAAAATTTTAGCCATGTTAATTATCTATTTTTCTAATAAAGTAAAAATATTTTGAGCAACTTTCTAAGAAAATTGGAAAGCCCCACATTAAAAGAAATAACACAGAACAATCCATAAGTTACAAATAAGTTGCTCTAAAGAAAGTTCCTCCGGGGGCTGGGGGTGTGGCTGAAGCAGTAGCGTTCTTGCCTGGCATGTGTGCGGCCTGGACTCCATCCTCAGTACCACATACAAACAAAGATGTTGTGTCCACCAAAAACTAAATAATAAATATTAAAAATTCTCTCTCTCTCCCTCCTCTCTCTCTCTTTAAAAAAAAGAAAAGAAAAAAAAAAGAAAGTTCCTCCCTCTCCCACTCTATTGGAAATATACAGTGGAGTTGCTCTATATAAGCATTTAATTTACCCAAATTCAATTAGAACAGCATGATAATGAGTTGTATATAGAAAATATGTATAAAGTAAGAAAGGAAGAAAGAATTTAAATAGCCTGGGTAATTCTGCCTGTCATTTCAATCTGTTCTTCCCTCAGCTGGTCTTCGTGCCCACGTAGGTGGCTCGCAGTGTGAGCATCTCACCACACTGAGTATGAAGCTAACATTTAAAAAACACATCTTTCATTTAACATGGTCTCCAAATGCAAGGAAATCATTGCCAACGGAAGAGCCAATGCTTTCAACACTAGAGAAAAAATAGCTTTGCCATACTTATTGAGAGAATATCTCTTGGTTTCCAACACCCTTTTTAAATGGCTTAAGTTATTTTGATTCTGAATCTTTTTTCACCTCTTATGCTGGTATAAAATATCATCTAACTCAATTTCCTTAAAACATGCAAATAAGTCAACCGACAGTTTGTAAATACTGGTTATGTTCCTAATATCAGCCATAAAATCATCAGCTCATGTGTGACTTGAATTCTCAAGGCATTTGGAACTGTTTATTATTCCCCCCCTGCTTTTTTTTGTTTTTGGGGGGAGTACCGGGGACTGAACTAAGGGACAATCAACCACTGAGTCATATCCCTAGCCCTATTTTGTATTTTATTTAGGGACAGGGTCTCACTGAGTTGCTTAGCACCTCACCTTTGCAGAGGCTAGCTTTGAACCTGCAATTCTCCTGTCTCAGCCTCCTGAGCAGATGGGATTATAGGCATGTGCCACTCACCCAGCTAATATTCCCTTTATTAGTTTCCTTGGTATACTCTTTCTTGGGTCATACATGGGTAACCTGTCTGAGTACTCCTTCCTCTGTTTCCTTTGTTACATCTTTCTCCTCTGTGCATAGCTACAAGGTAGCTCTCCTTTGTGTTCTTCCTGGCAGATTCACACACAGAAATACCTGTGTGCCTGTACCCAGCAGCTTCAGGCCACTGAGTCCCTCTTCTCTCCTGCTACACCTTCTTTTCTTGGGGCAATCGAGTCTCCTCCCATTTATTCAGTAGTATGTGACAAGAACCATGTTAGGCACTGGAAATGCACTGGTGAATAAAACAGGTACGATTCCTTTCAATATAGAGCTTACACTCTAATAGGGAACATGAAATGTTTAACAATGAGTTACAAATGTGGTGTCATCAGAGAGGAAGTAGGAAGGACCATGGGAGCAATTAAATACAGCAAATAACCCAGTCTGGAGGCCCAAGAGGGCATCCTATACTCTAATAATTCCCAAACCAATGTTAATGTTTTTAATCTTCAGTTATACACACACACACACAGACACACAGACACACACACACACACACACACACACACACACGCACACATGCACACACCTGACTGTCCAAACATTACTCATGATCTTCATCTTATTGCCACCAAGAAAAATGAAAACAAAAACTCAATTACTGCTCCTCTTCCTTTGTTCCTTATTTTAGCTGGTGACCTCACACTCACAAATCTGAAACCCGGGAATCCCCCTAGACCTGTCTCTTTCATCTCCCACATAAAATGTTCTCGAATTCCACCCTTATTCAATAGGTCTTGAATCCATCCTCTTTTCTTTGTTCCTCTAGCTTTTCCCCTTTTTAATCCTTTTTTCACAGATGACAATACAGCACTCTCAAAACAGAAGCTTAACTGTGTCTGTTTACTGCCCAAACTGCAATGGTTTGGTATTACCAACGCAGCTGCAGCCCAGCTCAGCCAACAAGCCCTTCTAGTGAAGCCTTTCCCAGTCTGACTCCAGCCTCGATAACTGCCTTAGTCCCTCCCCTCCCCACACGGTTCTTTATTCTCTGACAATACTGAATTATTTGTAGGTCCTGTAAACATCAGGTTGTTTCAGGCATCTTATACATTACACATGTAGTTCATCTTGCTACAAGATCCTTCCCTGTATCTTCAGCTACTTGGTTGAGTTTCACATTCAGCCCAGGGACTGCTGTACCATGGCCTCCAGGAAGCCTTCCCTGAAGCTCTCTCCCAGCCAGAGTTCGCCATTCCTGGTTTTCTGATACCTGTGCATTTTGAACTTTGCTTGAATCGTTGTATAAATTACTAATGACTGTATCCCCACCAACTGCCGCAGTCATGACACCTAGATAAATGAATAAATGCATGCATCCATAGAGTGACAATACATTTAAAAACTGACAATCTCTTATTTTTTTTTTCTCCTTTGGGTGTCTGCATTTACTCAACCCAAATAAGAGATTTTATGGAGAAATTAAATGTCATAAGCAAACTTAAAATTTCAAGCAGTAGGAAAAAAGGTCACTTTTGTTCTTATATAGCTTCTTCCATGTCTTTCAAAGATCACAAATTCACTAAAAGCAATAATTTTTTTCTCACATTGACTCTGGTGGAAGTGGCAGATGTCATTTTAGAAAGAAAAGTTTATAAGGGATTTCAGGATTAATTCTCTTATGCTTTTCCTGCGTTAAATATTCCACAATTGGTCCCAACTCTTAGACAAGTCATTGCTTGCTCACTATTAACACATTATTGGGATAAATTTGATGGAAAGCATGCCAAACATTTTCTCTTAAAGTATCCTGTTTTACTTTAGTATGGCACTACCCCACTTGGTGCTGGGCTTGAACCCAGGGCTTCACAAATGCTAGATAAATACTCTACCCCTGACATCCCCAGCTCTAATGTTTGTATTTTAATACAATAATTTCCTCATATCTACTATAGAAAGCTCTGGTTGATAGGTTATAGTTTATAGGTGTCAGCATCTTTTATCAATTTACTTATTAATTATATGTTTCTACAGATACCATCATTGCTACTGAACTCCAAGGAAACACCATTTAATACAATTAATGCATTTCTTTGTTGTGTTATTTTAGTGGGTGACTTAGGGCTTCCAGTGCATCTTCAACCTATCACAGTCTACTCTCAAGTAATATTACACACTTCATGTATAGTACAGGAGCTTGACAACAGTGTACTTCCATGTCCCCCACGCCAGTCTTTGTATTATCACTATTACACATTTTATTTCTACATGTGTTATAAATTTCAAAATAGTGTTATTTCTACTCTAAAAAGTCCGCTATCTTTTACATAGACTTAAATATTAAGAAAAAGTCTTTACTCACATAATGACCATATCTGGTTGTGTGTGTGTGTGTGTGTGTGTGTGTGTGTGTGTGTGTAGTTCCAGATTTTTGTCTAGTATCATTTTTCTTCCTGCTTGGAGAACTTTCTAAAATATTTCCTACAATGCATGTTTTATGACAATTATTTCAATATTATTGTATGATTGAAAAATATCTTCATTTTACCTTCATTTTTAAAAGATTTTCAATGGGTAAAGCATTCTATAACTATTTTTATTTTCAACAAAGGAAAAAAAAAGTTGTCCTGAGCTCTTCTCATTTGTATGGTTTCCTCTGTGTCATTTCCTGTGATCATCTTTATCTTTGTTTCTCTAAACATCTTTTCCTTCCCTGCTTTTAAGAATTCTTCTTTATTGTGAATCATAAGCAATTGATTGCAATGTGCTTTGTAGTCCTCTTTATAAATTTGTGCTTGGGGTTAAGTTTATCAGCTTAGAGTTTTCACCAAATTTAGAAAATTTTCAGCCATTAATTCTTTATATGCTTTTATCTGTTTTCCCATTGCCACTACCACCCTTTTTGGGGATTCTAATTACTCCAGTATTAGGACTCTTGAAGTTGTCCCACAGTTCACTTATAAAATATTATTTTACAGTCTTTTTCATTCTTTGTTTCATCTTTGATAGTTTCTTTTGTTACCTTTAAGTTCACTAACCTTTCCTCTGCTATGTCTATCCCACTGCTAATTGTAGTTTTCATCTTTGGGACTATTATTTGGTAAATTTTTAAAAATGCCTCTACTTCACATGCTCAATCCTTATTAGAACTTCTTGTACCTATAGAACACAGTTATAAAAACTGGCTTAATGTCCTTCATTAATTTACCTGCATCAATTCCAGGTCAGTTTTGACTAATGTTTCTCCTCATGATGGTTTGTACTTTCTTTTCTTTTTAAAAATCTTTTTAAGTTGTAGATGGATACAATATTTGTATTTTATTTATTTATTTTTATGTGGTGCTAAGGATCGAACTCAGTGCCTCATACGTGAAAGGCAAGTGCTCTACCACTAGCTACAACCCCAGCCCCAGTTTGTTCTTTCTTGCTTCTCTGCTATATCTGATCTTTTTGTTTTGTTTTGTTTTTGTTGTTGTTGGATGGCAGACATTGTACATTTCGTCTTATTTGAGTGCTAGATACTTCTGCATTTATATAAATACTCTTGAGTTTTGTTTTAGGGTATGGTTACACTTTTGGGAAACAAGTGGATCTTTCCTGGTCGTACTTTTAAATTTTGCTAACTAGGTAGAGAGTATCATTCATCTAGAGGGAAGCTTCCTCCCTCCTGAGGCAAAACCTTTGTCATTTCTCCTAGTGCTGCATGAATTATGCAGTGTATCATTCTGGCTGGTGACAACACTTCTCCTGTCCCCATGAGCTGGAAGACTGTTATCTTTAATCCTTTTGTCAATATCTGGAGACACTAAAATTTTGTGAAACCTACCACACAGCACTTTAAGTGTAGAGAAACAGTTGCAATGCACACTAGAAACAGGTATTGCAACATTGTTTGTAATACTCAAAGCCTATCAGAAATGGATATACATCAACTGTGATAAATTCATGTGACAATATGTAGCAGTTTAAATCAATGAACTATAGAGTTATATGTATCAACATGGAAAGATCTGAAAAGCAATGTTGAGTAAAAAAACCCCAAAAAAGCAAAATGCCAAATAAAACATTTAGAATACCATTTATGTAAAGTTAAAAAAAGAACAATAATCATTAATTGTGTCTAGATATAGTAAAATTACATGTATTAAACAAGATACTGTGATAACAGGTTCATAATCTCAATGGTATAACAAAAGGTTTTATATTTGCTCATGTTGCATGTCCCATGTGAAGGTTTACAAAAAAAAAAAAAAAGGGCTTTGCTCATTAAAGCCACACTGGGACTTGGGTTGAAAAAGTTCTATGACCTTTCCCAATAACTTGGAAGTGGGATGGGCAAGCAGTGAATCACATGGTGGCTCTGAAGCCTTCTACCTAGAAGGCATACATGCCATTTTCACTCATTGTATTTATCAAAATGCAAATTGCATTTCCATTTTGACCTTCAAAGAGGGACAGGTAAATACTATCTTATCTCATACCCAGAAGAAAAAGAACCACCTGTGAACAGCTCTACTGACTACCACAATGTAATGCACAAATTGAAAAGTAGGTATCTAATTCTTGAGTGCTTGCCCACAGGTGAGGAGAGACGGAGGTATAGAATTGAGCATAATAGAAACAGGATTTCATCTTTATATGCAATGTTCTTTTTCACTGTTATTTTTAAAATCTGAAATAATTCAATAGATCTGTATCAGGGTTCTAGCATGCATATCTCCCGACCCCGAAATCTTACCTGTTCGTTTATTTCTGTCCACATAACAGTACTTTAACTCATAATCTTTTAACAAATCATGAACTTCCTGAAAAAGAAAAACAAACAAACAAACCATGAATTCAATAAGCACCCAAATGCAGTTAGTGGCTAATGTAGCTTGACTAGCCTACCCACCCCCGCCCCCCAAAAAAAACTTTTATGAATTCTCCCTAGTACTTATTTAAATTAAAGACAGGGAAGGCCCAAAAGATATGGCACTAGCCTGAGCATCCAAATATATATCCCCCAGTGCAACCCCTCCACATAGCCATGTTCCTGTTCAAATGGTACATTTATGGTCTCATGAGTGTATGAGGCACTGTCTTCATTCTGTATTTCTGCTTATACTTATGCCTTGATCTAGCATGGGGTAAACAAATCACTAAAGTTCACTAACTTTGTCTAAAATCACATGCATACTTTGAAATTCCAGTTCACATGTTCTTTCATGAAGAACAATTTCCATAGAATGTGACCTCATTCTTCTTGATGCTAACAATAGTCCTAACTTTATCCCTCTTATGGAAATGAATATTATATTTCTTTCTATTTATGTATACTACATACAGAGGTTTTAACAATACACCTGCAAATTTTTGTAGTATGAACATACAGAATAAATATACATAGCATTTCTTGTAATAAACCACTTGTAGATTTTTAAATTAGAAATTCCTTGTTATAAATCAAATAACAACCATTGAAGTACAGTATGTAGTTTTGATATATTTCTCCTGGGCAGCTAATAGTACTTGCATACAGGAACTTTATTTTCTGTATTTATATATTACCTGTATTGCTTTACTTAAAACAGGCAAATATATATTAAAGTACATGTATTTGAATTGATATATGGCCTTAAAGATTTTTGTTCATAATATATAACAAATTCAAAGGAATTAAGACTATCACATAGGTGGACGTTTAGACCCCACATTGGAAGCCGGGTGGTGGCACACACAAGTAATCCCAGCAGCTCAAAAGACTGAGGCAGGAGGATAGTGGGTTCAGTCCCTACACTGAAGAGTTACAACCAACCTATTCTATATAATGACTAAAAATACACAGGTGTTTGTATAAGTACATAACCTAAATCCTTAATTCAGTAACAATGATTCTTATTACTGATATTATTACAGTTAAAACTTATTTAGCTTTCATTAGGTATAAGGCACTGAATTTGTTTCTTTAATTAAAAATCTGAGAAGCAGAGTAGAGGGAAATCAAGTGGCTGAAGTCATACAGTCGTAACTTGGGGAACGGAGATTCATCACGGTCGGGCTGCAGGGGCCCCCTCTAGCCCTCTATGGCATGTTGTCTTACTCTTTCCAGTGTAAACTTGAAAAATAGCACACTACCAACTACAGTTACAGAAACAATTATTTTTAGTTACTTTGTGAGATATTTGTCCACCCCCCAACCCTGGTTTGAGGGTTTTTTCCCCTTCTTTCTTTTGTTCTTCTGTAAATGAAATGATTGTAGAATTGATTTTTGTGGGAATTCTAAAAGCTATCTAAAACATTTCTGCAGCCTTTTTAAGCCTCATTCACAGAAGTACATGAAAGCACACACAGAGCCACAGGTTTCAGCAGTTTCAGTGCCACAGTTAGATCAATTTTGGGGTCTTCTGATGAATCTTTTTTTTTAAAAGCTTGTACATAGATAACAAGAGTTACTTCTTAAGATATAAAAAGGGCTGTGAACTAACTGTGGTGTTTACTAAACAGAATTATGTGTTGGGAGGAATTGGGATTTTGTGTTTTCCCATCTGCATTCAGCCTTCTCCTCTGGGTTTTGACCCTGAATGGTTTTTCTTTCCAAATCCTCTCTTACTGAAGCTGAGTATTGAGGCACATGCCTGTAATCCCAGCAGCGTGGGAGGCCGAGGCAGGAGGATCTTGAGTTCAAAGCCAGCTTCAGCACTTAGCAAGGCCCTGAGCAACTTAGCAAGACCCTGTCTCTAAATAAAATATATAAAAAGGGCTGCAGTAGATGAATGGATAAAGAAAATGTGGTATATATACACAATGGAATATTATTCAGCATTCGAAGAGAATAAAATCATGGCATTTGCAGGTAAATGGATGGAGTTGGAGAATATAATGCTAAGTGAAGCTAGCCAATCCCCCACAAAAAATGCCAAAAGTTTTTTTCTGATTTAAGGATGCTGATTCATAATGTGGTTGGGGAGGGGTGTGTGGCATGGGAGGATTAGATAAACTCTAGATAGGGCAAAGGTGAGTGAGGGGAAGGCTGGGGGCTTGGGGTGAGAAAGACTGTAGAATGAGATAGATGTCATTACCGTAAGTGCATTATGAAGACACAAATACTATGACTCTGTGTACAACCAGAGATATGAAAAATTGTGCTCTATATGTGTAATATGAATTGTAATGCATTCTGTTGTCATATAGAACAAAATAAAAATTTTTTAAAAATGGGGCTGGGGATGTGGCTCAGTGGTTAAGCACCCCTTAGTTCATTCCCTGGTACCAAAAAAATCCCCTCTTACCACTTTGAATTCTGCTGACTGTACCTCTCAAACATACTTATGATAATCTGCACTTTATGAGAAAAGGTAAATTTTATAAGTTTATGCTCTGCTAATTATAGATGTTTACTACTGTATGACTCATTTATTTTTGTAACCACTTGTGGTCCATCCTTTATTTTAATTCACACTTCTTACTACTGATGGTGATGTGGAGGAAGACACTGAGATTAGGAAATTAATTTGTACTATTTCAGCCCATCTGTGAATGTAAAAACTTCCCGGTTGCCTTGCTGTGGTCCACCCCATCTGGTGTGGAACTGATAGATGACTGTCTTGACACTCACCCTCGGGATGGCACGGAGCTAACTCTCTGGTTCTTTCATTTCACCCTTAACTCCAGCACAGCCTGTGGGGGGGTGTTGGGGCGAGGTACCAGTATGCAAAGGGGACTTTGGTTTTTCCACTGGTTCTGATCTGCTGCCCATTTACTAACATGTGTACTGCGTTTGCTTACAGACTGTAGGTGGACGTATAATGTAAAGCTTGGTTTAAAAAACATTTAACTCTTCCAAAAAAAAAAAATAGTCATTTAATTATAAGAGTAACTCTCATAAAAAAATAATCTTAAGAATAGCATAGAAGAGGAAAATAAGAGGACAGTTACAAGTTCAGAAATATTTTTTCTTTTTAACCCAGTGAAAGAGGAAAAGAAGAGTGATATAATAGGCAAAGGATAAAAGTATAACATATACCTAATTAAAATTAATTTAAAAAGAATAAAAATATAAAGCTGGATTTAAAAAAATCACCTATCATGTGAAAATTAAAGAGGATTATTTAGTAATGCTTATTAATACGTTGAATTAGAAATGTTTTAAAATGTGTACATGTATCAATTTTTAAAATATTGTTTGCTGATGCATATGGTACTATAATCAATATGCAGATTATTTTATTACTATGGTAACTTCTTATCTTGTATGCATCAATGTTTTCTTGGACTTACAAAACACACAGTGTATTCTTCATTAAGAAAAACATAACTTCTCAGTAGCATAACATAATACATCTTGCCAACAGACTAATACTTTATGCAGAAGGTTTTGTTTGAAGGGATCCAGTGTATTCTTTTAGTCACACAGAATCTAATCTTCTTTTCACTGGTGAACAGCTGTCAAGTGTGAGATAAAGAAAACATGATACTGCTCTTCATATTATCATGTTTCTATAAACAAATGACATGTTATGCTACTCATTTAGCTAAGAGAATTACTTAAGAGAAAGCTTCAATATTCAAAGACATATTTTGGAACTTAGAAATTTTATTTTGAAACCATTCAAAATTTTTAATCATAGCTTTTCTAGGCATCAGATGAGGGATACAGAATTTGCCAACTGAGAAAATTTGCAAAGCTTCCTACAAAGAAAAAAAAAAACAATTACTTTTTCTCTCCATGCCCTGGTTGTTTTGACCCAGGCAAAAGTGGGTCACCCCTCAATTTGAGCCCTGGTAAGTTGGCCAAATTAAAAACTTAAAACCTGAAAGAGAGTCCTAAAAACCATTTGCCAGCATTCTACTGTGCTCTGCCACAAAGAACTGAAAGGACTACAATTATAGCTCCCTATAACTGATCTGGCTTTATGACATTTCTATCATTTTACAAACTAATTTTAAAGTAGTTCCTTTGATAAAAAAAACTCTTTGTCCTCTGACCAGCAATATCATTTATGAATTTCTTAGAACAAGAGAAGTTCAACAAAATTGACATTAGTTTTAGTAATATATTTCCAGAGAGGATTCACCATCACTCCCTGAAGTTAAACAAAAAGTTTTGCTCATGTACAATGTTTTCTTTCAATGACACCCCCATCCCCCTAAAAGTTAACCATTGTTATGGCTGACCTGTCCTTCTTCCTAAATGAAAGTTGGCCTTAGCTAGAAACCTGAATCGCATTGTCATCTCAGCCCTTCACACACTTTGTTTTTATTATTAGAACAAGGCTTTCATACATTAAAGTACACTACTTTTAAACCCCACTGCTTTGCATTTGAAGAAGGCAACTGATATTTTTGTTAATTTTGTTTAAAAAATTTAAGTAACTTGATAATTTAAAAAGATTATCTGAAATGCAAAATTATGAGACATAATAATGAAACAGATATCCAGTAACTCAAGATCTAGAAGCCAGAGGATGGGAACATGGGTACCACGGTTGTATCCCCCTTCCAATCCCATATCTCTGCTTCCCCCCTTACACAGGAGTGTATTTTATGTAGATATGGATTCCCAAACAATATACTGTTTTGTATTACTTATTTTTGAGCTTTATAAAAAATGGTATTATCCTTTTTAATCTTCTGTGCCTTGATTTTTATAATCAATCTTTGTTGCTAACATTCACTCACATTTCATGTGGCTGTCACTCATTTATTCACAACAGTTCTATATTTCGTTCAATACTTCTAGTACGATTTATGTTTCCATTTTTCTTTCAATGAATATTTGTTTTGCTTCACCATTTTTTAAAATAAAACTCTGTTGCATTCTTGT